GCAAGGCGCATGCCAAATGATGGTATTATTTCATTATTTTGAGGCTGTTATTCTAGGAAGAGTTTGCGGCCACAGTTGGATTGAGTCGCACGACGTATCGAATCGCCCCTAGGAATTAGCGGCAGAGCTTCAGTAAGGAACTTCAGGAACTTCATTTTGATGAACGTCGGTTGAAGGGTCACGAAACAACGGCAAAAGAGGGATGTGAAAAGCTGATATGGTGTCCATCTTTTTTTTACAGAAATGCAAAGATCCCCACGAACCAAGGACTGCTAGACGAAACGGACTGTAGTGAGATGCAGGCCGCCCTAAAGGAAGACAGTCTATAGCAGCCTTGAAGGACGAGTACATGCTACCATCGATACATGAAGCCATAATTATGTTTGGTGGTCTCGAGCACAGGCCTCAATAGAAGTCCCTTCACCCGAACCCTGCGCACGTGATTTTGTTCTAACTTACACAAAACATCCAGAATATCTCTCGTCTCGGTGGTTTTGACGGACAGAGAGTCATGACATTGACGTTTGGATGGCATCAGATTCGAACATCAGTCTGGTGAAGGATGCAAGCACACAAATAGGGGAAGCCTGTCGGTAGCACAACAGCGTGCAGTTAAACGTTTTTGTAACAGGATAACCAAGGGTGAACTGTACTTAGGCGTAAAATAAGGTTAAACAAGACATGAGATAGAAGAGCAAGGCGGAAAGCGAATGGATCTTTTTCATGATTTACCGAGCATTGTATACTATTCGCCAAAAAACGGCAATCTATAGCAGACGCACAGACGAGCAGCTGAGTTGAAAGATTTGCCGATTCCTTGGATGCGTGGATTATCTGTCAGGTTAGCTGTACCTAACCTTCAGGGTTGTTACGACTTTGGCCATCCCAGATAATTTATACTATTCCATGGAATGCAACTTTCCCACATGCAGCGTGCATTTGGCACATTCCACTAAGTGCGGCGATCCTGGCTAGTTGCTCTGCGCAACCAGCTACAATTACACGGTATGAAAATATTCGATCCAGAAGGTTAAAAGTCTGCGAAATCAACCTCAGTAATCATTGCGGTAAAGCAGATCTGGAACAACGACCTATCGGCTTTCGGTAGAGTATATAGATGTTTTATGAACTTCAAAAACTAGGGTAGACACACGGGCCTGGGTACATCGGTGATTAGGAATGATAGCCTGGGAGCCTACGAAGCATTCTAGGTGACATTTGATCGAAATTTTCAACGCTCGGTGGCTCAACTCCGGGGAAACAATGTACAGCGCTGCCAGCAAGGAGGAGGCGAAATTACCCGGCGCGAAAAGTGTTCGCATCATTTGTGGTTGAGCCTCTCTCTAAGCTTAAAAATTCTCCTGCAAACGTTTCTTCACCAATCGGGGTGACATCACCAGTGCGCAGTTGACAGTCGTGCGTCGAGGTGAGGCATTACACCTGAACATCTTTATTTGAAGACATCCACATCGAAGTCTTTAGGCAGTTTGTGGGAACGGGCTGAAAAACACTAGACAGAGAATCCGTATTTGGAACAGAAATTACCGGCGATTGTCGCGCAAGGCAGAAGAAAGTACATCGGATTCTCTGCAACACCTCGCTATTACCCAAAACAAGTATCGCCAAATGCACGAAATTTATATCTTTACTTTTTGTTTTGAGTATACTGGTAAAATCAAAAGTCCGTTTTATCCATATGAACGATTCTCGACATAAACGTGAAAGCTCGGTCCTTAAAAAGAGTGTGATTTTTGCCCGCTCCGAGAGCCCGCGTGGCAGTGTATGGGGAAACTCTGGGCAGACGCTGAATACCGGTCTTTACTGGAGGACGATCTGAGCCTACGGAGTTTGTTAAGACTCGATTTCAACCTAAGAAAGACGGAGAAACTGGCTAAGGCGCAAGAAGAATGGACGGATTACCGTTGACTCTCACCTTGTGTCCTCCCGATATGGCTTGAAGGCCCACGTGGTCGCATACGCCGGTCACTGCAGCTTATTGGCACAGATGGTCGGAGTGGTACGGGTTCATCACGGTTTGTTATTTGCCGTCTACTGGAATCCCCTTGTGGAGCCGTTTTGTGTCCGTGCCTGGATGGGCAACATGCTTGGCAATACAGCTGGCCCATTCGGATGCGAACGTCCGCATTGGATAACCCATCGTTCAGTGGCACTCCACACCACGAACACACAAAACAGGCTAGGTGGTAACACAAGTTCATGGACCCAATGATCATGAGATTACCGGTTCCTAAGTGAATAAAGAGAAAAGCGAATTAAATAAGTCCGCACCGAGATCAGTGCAACATGAAATGCATGGACGTTCGTTGGTTTGATACTGGGTTAGGAGCTCTTCGAACGAGTATCCAAGGCGATACCATAGGCAATCGATTATAACGCCAGCTAGTAGCAGCACAAAGAATGTGATGACTGAAGTATAGCGACAGACATTGCTGAACAATCTTGAGTTTGGAACTGAATTGGAGAATGAGTGTAAGCCCAATTACTGCCTACTACCCGAAGTCGGCAGTGGTAGTCGTGGACTGTCAGAGTTTGCACCAACCTTACAAATGGCGTGTTGCATCTATACAGTGTATTACGATATTCGAATATCGCACCAACTGAAACAAGAGGCGGCCTGGTCTAATACACTCGGTTGAAGAACATCATAAACGAGAATTTCAGCTTGGATTCAGGCGAGCCCCCCGTGAAAAACAAATCGGTATGCAAGATACTAATCAATAATCGTTCAGCTGTGACACCTTTCCGGGGCCTAGCTGCCATGCCACCCAAAGGAAGCACGAGGGCTGGGATACTGCCAGGTCGCCCAAGCCTAGATAGAAGTCGAAATGCGAAGGTCGGGTTCAAACCACGGAAATTCCGTTCAGTAAATTCGCGCACTAAACACAGCCATCTCTCCCTCGTATGCCGGTGATGTACTTGCCAAATTTCGCGCAACCCCAAGAGGGCGAAACCGGTCGTGGGCTGTCGAAGAGTTTTCGGCAACCTTATGAGTACACATTGCTCGAACGAGTAGGAACGGATACTGTAAAAGACGCTCGAGCGAGATAAAACTAGCGAGTACTATTAAATGGCTGTTGTGTACTGTTATGTCACCTTGTGAGAACCACCATCTGTCTTTACGATAGACGTTTAGCATCAAGAAAAAGAAACAAATCCGTATGAAACGACTTTCCAAATACAATGGCGAGCAGTGTATGGAAACGCTAAAGGGAACACCTGTAAAGCATTGCTTGTCAATGTAAACTAAAATTTTAAGACTGCTTTCAGGATGGGGTCGTATGCAATATTCAGCTGGTTGGGTTACTTTTTAACAAATAGACATAGTAAATTATTTGCGTAGTACTGCACGCATTTCACCATGGTGATGGCTACACAACCAGTTATTTCCCCTATCTATGATATAGCGGTAAGGAACATAGAAAGCTCCATGGATGCGGAAACCAAGTAGGCTAGCAGTCTGAAACGACGAAGCTATGGTATGGTTCTTATTCTGCCGGCTGCTGACTACTGGTAGATATCTGAATGGGGCTTCAACCTGTAACGAAAAGCTGACAAGCGCCGATAACCTGCTTCACCATTGTTGTAGCCATGCAGTACATCTGGATCTTTAGGCATACGTTGTCTTCATTCACAGGACAAAATACTTATTGAAAACTATCAAATCTCCTCACGCTATCAACACTAAAGGTCAGCAGTCGGAATGTTTCATATGAATAGCTGTCGAGCCTCGGAAGACCTGATAAGTGCCAAACCAGGAGTTTAGGGTTTTATTTAGTGTTTCCAGTAAAGCTGTGACCAGATCGAGAAAAACGCAGTCATAGATACGCTTTCGTCTTTAGCGAAACTCACTAGGTGGGCGAGTAGACACAAGGAATGGGTATCTGAATGTGATAAAGCAGTGTCTCACATAATCATCATCGACAGCATGACAGTGTTCAACATTGATGCTTCACTGCCGTACAACCATGATTTATTTGAAAGCAGAGTAAAGATGGACAGGGAAGGGACTTAGTGCTAGCTTACCACAATCATTCCGTGGTGCCTATACCACCAGACAGTCACTCAAGCGATCTGGATAGAAACTGACAACAAGAACGCCACTGACATCGGTTGGCAGCCGTATCTTGTAGTGTCTCCAACCAGGCACAGTGGGGATCACGCGGTCCCCATCCTGGAAGGCGAGTAGCACCGACAGCACCCAAGTGTTTCGTGATCTCCTTCATACTCCTCTGCCAAGTCAAGGGTCGGCCACCTCTCTGTTTACGCCACTCTGAATTGGGCATGGAAAACAGCACTCTCTTCGGCAAACGATAGTTAGGCATACGCAACACATGTCCAAACCAACGCAGCTTCTCGTGCTGGACACATTCTTCAATGGAAGTACCCGTTGCACAACCGAAAACGCGCTTTCTAACTGCCTCGTTACGGATTCGCCGATACTAACCCACACGAGCTATGGTTCTGAGACAACGATTGTCGAACACCTGAAGATGTCTCAGTTCCGCTGCTCGAATAGGCCAAGTCTCACATCCATACAACAAAACAGACCGTACCGTAACTTGATATACACGTCCCTTGAGATTCAGGAATAAACCACTCTGACGTCATAGGTGTCTCAAATTAGCAAACACCGCCGAGCCTTGCAGATTCGTGCATTCACCTCATCTGTCACACAATCGGTACCAATACAACTTCCAAGATACGTAAAACGCTCCACAACTTCCAGTATCTCTCCCTGGATTGTAAGTGCCGCGTTCCGTGACTGCATGTCTATGAGCATGACCTTACACTTTGTGGGCACATCATTCAGAGCTGGCTTCCGTTCCGTGGCCAACTGAGAGTTTTGATCTACAGATCAATGAAACATTGAATGTGCAAACACTTATGATCTCAAAACTGAGTCAGTAGCTACCTCGAGATCAAAATAGGAAAGAGTCAGTCAGAATTTCATCTGCATGCTTATTCGAAATACACCGAAATAATTTATGAAAGTTTTAGGATTGGAATACACATCACAGACATCTTCCTCGCTGAGACGGTACATTATTCACCTTCTGGTGTTTCTATGCAAGTTACTCAATGTGGTATACCCGTGAATTGCAGGACTCATACCTGATTGAATCTGTCACCTGCTGACCAAAAATCATGCACGCCCATCCGCCGGGAACGGAGTAGTGTTGAAAGACACAGGGGGATTTTGTCGCGGGGTTTACAGTACACCAACTGGAAACGCAAAACCAAAACTTTGATTTACCATGTCGCCCGCCATCAACCGAGCTTACACTGTCAAGTTGTTAGTGCACCTGTAAGGTCCTATGTGAATGAGTGCTTACTTCGTCAAACGTGACACAGGCACCGCCTGGCACAGAAGTGAAATGCAAAGAAACGGTCCGGAATTTTTTGATTCGCGACATTATCTCCATTTCTTCTGGTTCCGAATATATTGAACGATGCATGAGCCTTACGTATGCAAATCAGAACGGTTCAACAAAAACCCGGAATGCAAGAATACTGTGGCACGCTGGAGTGAACCGGCACGTACAGTATATCCTGAACGAAAACGTGAGATCAAAATTGACGTATGCAAATGGTGCACACTAAGATACTCTTTCACCACACACTTTCCAATATAGTCGGTTTGGAGACATGAGGGAAACCATAATGATCAGCTGGGCGAATAAACCTCAAATATAAATTCAAAGCTTATATTGCAACGTGAGAATGATTGGGAAAGCACCATCATGTTACATTCATCAGTTGAATTCACATTCCGTAGACCAGTTGATATCATCCCGTACCTAGGGCTATCTATATTAGTTCACCTGACAGCTTCTACTCTGTCCCGTCCGAGCTGATGCTTGTCAACGCGACTGAATCTACCGGTCAGGGCTTTTGGGTTCCATCGCCAAGTCTGAGTGGCTTTATTTCGTTTTCATCCGAGGCATGGCTAGAGGATGTCTGGTCGCCTGACGTGCATTTGACAGAATGTATTATGGAGTGTGGCTAACTCGTCTAGCCCTTCCATTTCACATGTCCCAACAGGCACTGAATATCATTTTGTCTCTTCCGCACGTGCTGGTCATGCTGTGCGGACCGCACAAGTGTTTTAGACCATTCTTATGATAGATGAAGGCGCTGTGTGTTGGAGGATGGTAAGGGTAACGATTAGGCAAGTGGATCCAGGAAACCACTTTATTTTTTGACAGTTCAGTGGGGTTTATTAAGTTGTCCAGTGAGGTTTGGTTAACTGCCATATCAATGGATTTAACTGCATTAAATGAAGCTTGGATTTAATCTCACCCAGTCTTGTAGTAACCAATCGCAGTTCGTGAATATAAAGCGTAGCCGAATAGTACGCCCAATTGTCAGTGATTCAAAATGGTCCGAATTTCTGAGGGACTTAATTCAGGAAGAGAAAGACCATTGGCTTCCTCAACGTCCAGGAGCAGTCTGATCCCTGAGAGGCTCGGGGAGGGTAAGAAATACTCTAGCAGAATATCGAAAATAAGTTAGAAAGAGAGAAAGAGAGGATCATACCTGACAACATTAGATCTCGGAGAAGAGCTTGTCATGAGCACACGCGGGTCAAAAAGAACTGGTGTAAAGCGCTTATAGAATATATAAGAATCTAGTCGGAACAACTCTGAATGACAGGCACTACCATAGCATTGAGGATCAATGGAATCAAAGTCAGCCTTCAGGTCAACATAAATTACTATGGTTGGTAATTGGTTGCACCGAAAAAGTAGCCCATAATTAACAATAATCAGCCGACTAATAGAGGACAGTCATGCGTGTCTTTGGCGCGATCGTTCACGTTGCGTATTGGTGTACTTTTAGCACCCTGTTAGGTTAGGAACAGCTTAAACTGGTATGCCGAAGTTTGGCCACCCGATAAGATTTTTGGTTAACTAGTTAGGTAAAACAGAAGGAGTGTTTAAGAAAGGAGACTAGTCGAGAAAAAAACTTGGGGAATAGTTTTCAAGACACGGACTAAAGAGGACAAGATTAAGGATATATATATATATATATATATATATATATATATATATATATATATATATATATATATATATATATATATATATATATATATATATATATATATATATATATATATATATATATATATATATATCAACTATTGATAAACTGAGTCGCAGGGTCCCCATCCAGAAAAGCGGCGAATTTCCCGACCCAAATATGTCGCCTTCTGGTGGTGGTCGGGTTTCTGCGCAGCAATGATCCTGCGAGCTATACTGGCTGGAAATCAGTTCCTCAAGGGACAACCATGCCAGAAAGTTCAACTGGCTGGATCCGGACGAAGAACAGCGAGTCCCCGTACTGCGAGTAATTGTGCTGCTAGGCGGTATGAAGGTGAAGTTGTACCGTTCTCTGCAATAAGAATGTGGCGGCAGTAAGGTATTTTCCCCAGTGGACCAGGGTGTCCATCTGTATGGAAGCAGTGATGTTGTTTTCCCAGGAGGAAGAGTGGGTTAAAAATTCGGCCTTAAATAGTCTGGTGTTACTCTAAAGGCATCTGGTAAGCGCAGCCGCATTAGGAATGGGACAGCAATCCCCTACCAGACTTTTGAGTCAAAGGCTGGTAGCGGGGACCCTGAAGAAAACCCCACATCCTCCCACTACCCTGTGGGTCAGACTTTTGAGTCGAAGTTTCAAGCAAACCCCCTTTTCCGGCTTGAGCAACCTGGAGGCATCATTCGCTCACCGGCCTTCCCTCACACCCATTCCCCACCCATCGAATGATCCAGTGCGATCTGACAACAAATCATGTTACAGTTTTCAGCAACGAACTCTAAATACATTTATGACATGACAATCGGCAACAGATGCTTCAAACAAACGAGTCTTCAAGTGAGATGGAGTTCCCCTTGAAGGAAGATCGTTGCAGTTTATTGTTTGATAGATTGGTCAACCAGTTAGCAAGTGATTTTGAAGAGGGCATACCAAAGGGGCATTGAAAAATAAAACACCTCGCCAATCCAAAGAATGTTTCTGCAACGACATTTTCTACACTCACGTTTGCGACCGTTAAGGCAAGCTGAAAACCGCCTCTGAAATTCGATCCGTAGTAGTGAAGGTGTAGTGTTTTAATCCAAACGCAGGTTCACCAGTCTCCAAAACAAATTAGAATAGGGGTAACGCAAGCCTTGCTTTTTATTAATGGGTGATTTAACAATGGACAAAAAATGCAATAAAAAATATCCGGAAGGGTGAGACGGAGAACTCATCAATTTATTCGCGGCAAATCAGCTGTTTAGAGCAAAAAACAAGGGTTTCAGTGACTGCAAGCTCATGCAATAAACTTCTTGCCAGATTATCTGCAGAGCCGTTAACATCCACTGGACTTGACAGTTTGGAAATTACGGTGTGAGCTCTGTTCGGAAGGCTCATGGTTCTAATCCAACCGCGACAGATCGAACGCAATTGCCTGGGGGTATTTCGATATCCTTGCTGTCTCTAGGCAGCGCAGCAGCTGTTCGCCGAAACGGTTCTATAACTTATTACTATCTCGAATTTTATCGTTGATTGAAACTAGATCACACATACATCACCATCAAAACATAAGCACTATTTACGCCATATATTCTGTCTTACCGAGTTCTTGAGTACATGCCGTGCACTTGCCCTTCGGGTCGATGCCTCTGTTGAGTGGTACTCGAGGCGGTGCAGGAGGAGCCTCCGAGTTGCTTGATGGAGGCGGAGGAGGTGCGTACGACCGCCTGATAGATGTGAGCGGAAATAGCGTTGCCGGTAAATTGTAAAGAATAAATGCGAATAATTCCATGCTACTATTTAGGGATCAGGAAGAATAAGCCCTCGATTTGGCTACGCTGCTCAACAAAAAGTGTCATTCTGGGATAACGGGTCAATTCTGTATGGTCATCGCTGTAAATAAAGTCAATGGTCTTTCAGTTAACCCCCTTGCATACTGATACTAGTTTGGAAACATTTACGAGACAGACAACTGTTGCTGATGCTCCAAATTCCAGAGAGTAGTGATTTACGGGGAGCTCAAAAGAATCTGCATGTCGAACTCGTCAACCATCCTCATATGAACGGAGGAACGATCGTTGACACAGGACTGGTGTTTGTAAAAGTGGAAAATTTACTGAAATCAGCTGCTTAGCTCTGATTCGATGGGACGCACACGTCACAACCACGAACTACATGAATGCACATGTCGAGTGTGGTAGTTGTGCTGCTTAACATGGTGGTTATTTGAGTAGATAAATAAAATGAAAAAAAACTGGAGGAATTCAAGCCCGTTTTTGACAGACTGACTACAAAAACGTCGTCGACTGGTATGCAACGTACCCGAATACAAAACTGATCGGCTGAATTGGCCACCAGTAGGAAACGAAAAAAAAACTAACTTTGTTGGACTGAACATGCAAGTTGCTATGGCAACCAGAAAGTGAATCCGCAGACCGAGTGTCTACACACTCGTTATGTGGGCTCCACTTGATACCGAATGATTGCACATTAACACAGGTGAAAGATACTGGATCATATTACCCACAATTTCAAGTATCACTGGTTCCATGTCCAATTCAAAGCAAAGCAAACAGGGAGGTAATCCTATTTTCACACCACAGAAGAGCAAGAGTACGAAAAGGGTACGTGCCAAAAATCTGGGTGCCGTTGGTTTGCGCCAGCATTCAAGGTTGAGTCCGCGAGAGCTGTCCTGTGTCTGACTAAACACGGTACAGGCTAAGACTGTTGACCGGTATGAGTGGCGTTCGGGTCACCAGTTCCTGTCCCCGTCGTATGAGCGCTTGGCAGGTGAGGGGAGATTGGAACTAAAACACCAGCTCTGTATGAGCTAGGCTAGTGGCAAGAAGTAGGTGCAAGCAACGGTCAAATCTCCGTGTTATCATGATACATAGTGAGCTGCTTAGACAATCGATATGAACTTTATTTGTGTTGAATCGGGTCTTGGTCAGTTCACTGGCTAGTTTAAGTTGAATGATTCCATTAAAAGTTTTCCGGTTGCTTGTTTCGTAAATCACAATCGCCAGTATAAGCGTCAAGTCACAATTAAAGAACAGTAGTGCTTGCCTGCCATACAATCACAGAGGGAGAACATTCTAGAACATGCGAATGAAAAAGTTTACGGATAAAAAACTAGAGTATTTTAGGGTGTCTGTCTACGAACAGCAAAGAAAGTTGTACTAGAGGAAGATACGGGGCTGAGTATTTCTAAGAACCTCTTACAAAATAAACGTAACATGGAGAGATAGAAATATCTAAGCTACGTAGTCCGGCCACGGCGGTCCAACACCTGCCATGTGCCGAGAAGTTACGTCGACCAGATCTATGTCGCCGATTTACTGAGCGGGGGGAAATATTCTGCTTGGCGAGTGCCCATTCTTCGCATCTGCATCCATATTATACACTGCTTTTTCATTCGAACGACAGAAAGTATGGACGGAGGTCGAATGGTCAGTTCGGCGTCGGCTGTAACTTGTCTTTTGAAGAACTGTTGCACATCATATTGAGACGTGAATTTTCATTTTTGTACTGCACAGATTGTTTCAGTCCTGTCACCTATTTTCCACGCAATCGACCAACGAGCGCCTAAATCCCAGACAAAATCACTATGGTTCCTGCACCTATAACGAAAGGCTTTCTTCGTAGCAGTTTTCATGAAAATGAACGGGAAATTCGGTTCGTTACAAGCGCGCTTACCACAGTGTCACCAGTTCGTAATTTCAACCCCAACACACTACATGCTGCTTTAATCTATGGTGATTTTAGCGAGATTTGACCCGTTCTGTGATCTTCAAACACGATTGCGAACACGCCTAATTTGGGTCACCTGATACGTGCCATTTCCAAACAGTCTGCGAAATCTGAAAGAAGCCCGATTCACCCTATACGGGCATGAACACAATTCTGTGTCTCAGATTTCTCACGCGTCCTACAGAAGCACTATAAAGGTTATGGTAATAGATGTGCCAATCTACAGCAAAATCCAAGCGAACAATTTTCAAATTCTAAAGGTTCTGGTACAACAAACGATGGTAACCAATGCTAGAGTCAGCCGCAAGTAGAACCAATAATGAACTTGTGCAGTGGGATGGCTTATGAATAGGGGAGATCAGGAGTGGATTCCGTCGCGAAATACTCGCCTAGACGGATGGATAACCGGAAAAAATGATGGGTCGTTTTTGGAATAGATTTTCTATAAACACGGTTTACGCTGAATTTAAGAGTCTTCCAAGCAAATGGCTTGCTCAAAGCAATGGCTACAGAGACACTCGACTCTGCATCAGAGCTATCCGAGTTTGCAAATTGTTTTGCACAGCACAACAATTCACAAAAAAAGTTAGGTTGTTAGTAGAATCGCTATTTCGAAACGATGTTAGTAGGGAGATGAGGTCATTGGTGTGTCTATCTCTGCAAATTTCATCCAATCGATTGCAAGTCTTGTGTTCCCGAATGAACAGCTTTGGAGATATACAAGATATATAAGACACTGAATAATCCTGATCAGATTCTTTTATCCCGATAGTTTATCAGCACAATCGTGTACAGAAATACATCAGTGAATAAAATCGGGGCATGGGTGCCCATAACCGAGGACAAATTACACTTACGGAAGAAGAAAGAAAGTGAAAGCGTGAGCGAGCACAGCAAAATAACCCATGCTCTTCGAAAAACCAGGAATATTACTGAAATATATATCAGAGCATTATGCCGTACCAAGATATCTTGGGCGGGATACCTTGCTGAAGGTTTTCATAGATTCAGTAACCTCGTCCCAAACCGGACCGAAGGCACATCGGAAAACAAACACTGGTTGAGCACTACGGCCAACAATTAAAAGCACACTCTTCAATGGGATCCTGGCTCGTCAAACGTTTTCACGATGTCCAGTCAAGCGCAAGCAAAATAAGTCTCAGTCTGGTTGACTGCTCTTACTCTTGGTTGGGTTATCAGAGAACAACGGAGAATTACTTATACACTGAATCTCAGCGGTCAAATGAAGGTTGGTGTTATACACACGGACTTCAATATGCTTGCTTTCGAACTCTGGTGAAACCGCTGCATCTTCGTGAAAATCCGAGTTCTCTCCGATTTCCTAAGCCAGCTACATTTCAATGTAAGAGGTCATTTAACCACAAAAGTCGATACAGTACCATTTACTATATTGGACAATTTTCAAAGCGTTAAGTGACGGGAATGAGCAAAAGCTTCTTTTTCGTCTGAATGTAACAGGCCGAAGTGGTGCAGATTCAAAACCTAGCTTGTGCTCATAGTACGTGAAACCTGTGGCAATTATTTTTGGGAGCTAGGCGAATTGGTGAAGTTAAACTACGGTAGAAACCTATGACGCTATTGAAAAGGTTCGAAACCGCTTCAGCTATATATATCCTACAAGTTTTCGGCCGCTGTACATCTTGCTGCAATAGTGGGTCATGAACTGAAGCGTGGCACATCATTACGCTTGGTGAAGAGAGAAAGCGAGGGGTACCTGACATCAGGTGGGTCAAGTCTGATTTCAATGAAATTAGTGCCACCACGATGAGTTCACGCCTGTTGGAGCAAATAAGATCTTACTGGACTGTTTTTCAGCCCAAAACTTGTTTTGCCCACGGATAGCGCTGGAAATTAGAATTCCGTTTACGTGCCAAAACGAGCTTCGTAGTCGGTTAGCAAGGCGAACCGACGGAAATAGTTTATGAAAATTCACGGCAAAATAAATCGCCAAGGTTTCGTTCTCGACACTGCTCGGTTAGTGTCAAAGGCCTCAAGGTGCGAGTAGTGGCTTGCTCTTTACAAGATGAAAACATGCTAAATCAGAATAGGGACTCCATATTTCGAAAAGGGGTACGAAGCGATTAGTCCTGCATCCATCTGGACATTTCAACCTCACATCAGAGCTCGGAAAGGAACTCAGTGGGGAAAATAGTTAGGGTAAAGGTAGCTCATACCTAACTTAGCCCAACAGTTTTTCAGGATTCAGTGGAATGTTAATTCACCTGGCCTTATTGTCTGTTTTATAGACCAACCCTTTCTTACCACTTCAATGTGGATCCGATATTGAATGCTGCAATGCTCCGCAGAAAGTGACATGCAAGACGCCGAAGGTTTTACGAAGCTTCCATTCTAGCAGCCAAGTTACACAGCTGTAAGGAAAGGCAGCTCCGACGGCCGTCATCTACACATCGTTTATCGCACAAAAGTTGGCATACGTGGAGGAATTTCAACCAGAATAAGTAAATCTATAGACTCCAGTCTTCTGCCTTCAGGCTAGGGGGAATCAGATGGCTTGCAGTAAATGTATGAAGTTTTTAGATGAGGAGAGCATACGAAGACAAGAGATCACTTGAGTCATCCTATTTAGATATCGGTTACCGATTTCTGAAAAAACGAAGTTATCCACACCGACAATTTTCACTAAATGCATTATTAATACCTTGATTTTGGAACCTCAAACGGGCATTCAGTGATAAACTCAACGACAACTTGAATGGAACGAAAGAGCTAGACCTGATGATGATGTAACTACGGACATTTGTTGGATGTTCTCGCTGTTCACCGAGTTTGACCGATGGCTAAGTTCTTCGAGTGACACCGGGATACTTGAACTACCATAAGGAACGCCTTCATCTCGATTGACAACGTAATCACGCGGTCCATACAATTGTAGGGATCTAAAGCTTATCCCAGCTGTGAGCATATGCTGCAGTCCTTCCTTCAACAGATTTTCAAAATACCACGATATTGTGGTTGACGTTTAGTGACTGCCGTATTCGGCCACAAGCACAAGGATGCTAGCTGCATGAGGATGTGAACCATACCAAAAATATTCCTTGCATTCTTTGGAGGAAAAATGCAAGCTAAACATCTCAGGGGGTAACTTCTGCAATTGATGTATAGTTTTTAGTAAAGCAACAAAGAAAAAACTAGTCAGTTGCCATGGGATAGGTCGGTGAGAGCAATTTCGCAATGACCTCAGGCATATAAATGTATGAAACACTTGCTTGGGATAGCGAATGTGTAGAGTTTCATACGAACGTCCTGGCACCACGTAAGTAAAGATCGACCAAGTTGGAAAAGACTGGTTCCAGGACAAACAAGACTAACTTCCTTCACAGAGACCATGTAAAAAACTAGAAACCCGGAAATAGACATTTTACAGCATAAAACGTCAGACCCACAGATGAGAAAGACGAATGAGAGGCACTCACCTTTTGGATACATCACGGGCATGTGGCATTTGTCCATCTGAAGCAGCATCAAGCAAACGATCTTGAGCATCAACGGGTGGCCGCAGGGAAAATTCACTCGGTAACGTTGGCCGATTCCCATCTAGTAACGGTGCCATAGGTGGTGGAGGTGGAATATTCCGTAGTGCGATGTCACCAATCCTTTGTCCCGTAGTCTTTGCACGGGTCCGTATTTCAGCTTGGTCAAGTCCATTACTAGCAGGTTGCGGATCACCTGCTGAGTCCAGGGCATTTGCTTTTTCGCGTTGAAATTCTTGTTTGGTCAAGTGTGATCGATCGATTGCTGTTGAGGAAACACGTGGCCGTTCGATTATGGGGGTAACACTGTTCAGGCTGGAAACTCGATGACTGTTTGCTCGTGTACCGGATTCAGTGAACTCACCAAGAAAAGTTGGTGACGGGGGACTTGGGAGAAAGGGAATCGATCTAGTCCGATGCTGCTCACCTTGACGTAGTCTACCATTTGAAAAATTGAGACACTCGTTGCTAGTACTACGTGGTTGCACATTTGAGTAAAGGGAGCTTGCTGCGCTATCAGTAATGGTTTCAGAATTGTGTAAAGATAGTGGTAGGGGTGGTGGTGGAAGAGGAGAAACATGGAGGGTTGGTGAGTCGGGCTGTTGTTGATTACGTGAGGAGGCATCTGAAAGGGTCGCACTGTAGACATCCTGAACTCGTCCCGATGGAACAGCCTCGACCACGGGCCTTCCAACCATAGGCTGACTAATCAGGACGGTGCGCTCGAATTGCTTCTGTAACGGAATGGAAACGTGATGTTACTGATAAAGCGACTGCTAAAATACATAGAGACAACGTATTTACCAAAAATAATTTAAGACAACTAAATCTGTGGACATAAGGGTTTTAAAAACATTATTCGTGACCCATCATCGTACCCGGAAATCCCGGACCGTCTTTTTTTGTCCGTTAGATACAACCGGATGATCGCGATGATGACTGACGATACGACTTTAACAAAATCCCTACTGGAGCATGCGGAAATACTATTTGTGTGCCATCATGCGCAGACAACTACTGGTTTTCAACAGGTCCCTGTTTAACCGTCGGTAATTTATTTCTCCACGTTCGAATTAGAGATCGCAGGTAACAGTTAAGGGCGACTGTCGGGCAATGAATTTCCTGTGATCACCGAAATACTGCACGAGACTGTTATTGCTGGGTATGAAATGTACAGATTACCACCGACCCAACATTACCAACACTATCAAGGCGTCTCAGGTACTCACAGTAGGCAGTTACCGTCTCATTATCAATTACATCAATTCCTCAACAGCAGTGCGTCTCTCCTACTTCTGACCATGTGATGCAGAGTTGGGTAAGGATTACACAGTCAGCTGTTTATGACATTCAGTGCAAAGGGTCTAATTATTACATTAAGTTAGTCATAGGAATGCGCTGAAAAGCAGAATACGCTAAAAATGCAATCGTCGTATGGTCAATAGTGGACCAGATTACCCACCGCACTTGTATTGAACTCGAAACCAGTCATTATTAGACATTCTATTGTTAGACATCTACCAACAAGTTCGTTGATCAGATTGGCGCGTCAGATTTCGCGAGGAATAATGCTTATGGTAAGAAGCCCTGCAAAAATTGGAGTACCTTATTGAGTTTGTCACTGATTTTTTCATTTTGGTAGTCAGTTAAACAGAGGGAGTTTCCTATCAGCTAGTTGTTCAAGCGATAAAGTTTGAACAATGTTGAGATGAGATAGCTGCCAGAAATGTCCAAACAAAATAAAGGGGGGTGCACGTACCGCCATAATGATTTCAGTTTCCACATTAACGGCGACAGGGTGGATATAGTTACGTACTAAGGATAACAACTTACACCATTTGAGTTGTGAAAGTAATGTTGAAGAAACTTCGTTTTCAAGATGTGAACGCCCAGTATTGTTTGGGAAGGTTGTTAGCGAAAGTTGTACCTCTTAGGAGAGTCACAACAGACTGGTCCACACCATTTGAGATTATCTGTACCTCATAGTGGGATTTGTATGTAGCGGGAACAAAATCTGTCTACACTACCAAAATAATTGGGTTGGGCTGCCATGTTTCGTTGCTAAGTCACAGTCTAACCTTCCATTCAGTACAAGCTTGAATGACGCAGGATCTGGAGTAGAGTACGGATATACGACAAAGCCTAACCAGCAGAAACTACGGTAGGTGACCAGCAATTCTATTGGGAACAAGCTGTTCCAAACAGAAACCAAACCCTAAAGTCATCTTAAATTGAGGTTCCATTGAACAGTTCAGATGCAAAAACAGAAGCTCCCTTTGTTTTCTAATTCCAGTGATTTATAAGATAACGACTAGTCTGAAACAGTGTCGCTAAAATACTCATAAAATTCGACCGAAGCGAATTTGGCCAAAAGAGATTGACCTGGGTGCCCAAATAGGGAAGTTCATTGACAATAGTTGCACAGATCGGAAGCACGAAGTTCAGATAGTTTTCAGTCACTTCTGTGGAGGCCCACTCACCGGACTTCCGTTTTTTTTTAAAAAAAGAACAGCTTGACTGTATGACACTCTTCGTACAATAAGAACACCAAATACAGCCCGGTCTAATTGCCTGTGACATACCACTGATAATTAACTTTCAGGCAGTTGGCATCTATACAGTACGAAGTGCAGGCGACCATTGTTTTATTGTTTCCTGTATGGAGGTTACGCAAAACAATGATGCCAAGGCATTACCGCACAACATAAGCGATCGCATGTTATTCAGCACAACAGAAGTGAAAAATGACGGCGAACAGATGGTCAACGAGCAGGATTCACCTGATATCTCCGTACAACCGCGAACACAAAAAATGTGTATCAAACAGGGTCGGCGACGAAACAGCCCTGATGAAGCCATAGAGTGGGGTCCTCGAAGAGGACGAAATAGCCAGCAGTGACATTTTTACATTTCAGGGGAGGGTGACAGAGCTAAAAGAAGGGATAGGAGCAGTCATATTTATTGGAGCATCGGGGGACAGCGAAACGTAAGGCAGTTGTTGGCGTGAACTCAGCCCCAGTGGCAGCAACACACTCGTCGAAGAATCCTCCACGGCGCCGGTACACCCCTGACTTCGATGAACTTGTCGACAGCTTTGCGCTATTTCACTGGCACAGTTGAGGTATCTAACAAAGTGATCCAGCATTTCACTCCTTAAACAACAATTCTGCGCTCACGTAAGTGGGCCTGCATACAGCAGAAAGCCAATAAACGGCCGATCAACATAACCATGGAAGACACCTATTAGAGCTCTTAGATGGACGAATAGCTATACTAGATTGGTACGCCTTCTTCTATTAGAAAACAAGGATTTCCGTTATTTAAGGTCTTTAACATTGTTTACTTCAAAAACGCGGTCATCTACAAAATAATTTAATTATAACAGAAGTTCCAACTAAATCCCAGTTGAATCCCTCATGACATTCTTCAGCTGAATGTGCTTCATAAAGACCATCTCGTACCTCAGTTGGTCGTAAGTGGAACACAGGGTTGACGGAAGATCGGAGAGTGCCCACCTGATGTTTTCAGAGAAGGGCAAAAACGGTCCGGGGTTTTCAAGGAGTTTTCAGCAACCTTAAGAGTAGTGTGCCCCTTCTTATCTGTATTCCAGTTTTCATAAAGCTGGAAACAAGTTAACACAAGACTGCCGTGCTGTCATAAGGAGAAAGGAAAGTGATCCGGCACTGTCATGTACAGCGAATATACCATTAATGAGGTGAGAGAATCGATCGAAATAGCTAAATAAATAAATTAGTCATGCACGCAAATGTCAGCGGTGATTGTGTGGTGTTGTGGTTAGTAGCTTGAACAAAACTGTAAGGCAAAACAACTATCAAATACAGCCAGCAAAAACTCATTGGCTGCTGTAAGTTTAACCCTCGGCGGACCGGTTGTGTCAGGAAGGTCTGATTATAAACCACAGAACATGGGAAAATTACAGAGAACCGCCAACTCCAGCAAAATCGTTTTATGAAGGTCCACGGGCCAGAATAGCCAGCTACCGACTGAACGCTCAAGCAGCCAATCAGAGAACTGACGATTGGTTATTGCCAAAAAGTGGTCAAAACTGTGCTTTTAATAGTGCAACGTCCTGCGTAATTCGATCCTCACTTGCTCGCAATAAAACCGTTGTGTCCTCCTTGGTTGAGTCTTTTACGTCATTACGGTTTTGGAGTTAAAATTTTTTTGTTTTGCAGTCTGCTGATCACCGATCTGATCGTTTTGAAAGATTAAGTAAATTCCCACCCAAATATAGAAGACAAAAGGGCGATCTCGGATTAAACCGCAATCAACGAATCTCGATAGGTCAGTTGATGGTAGTTCGTGGGAATTTTCAGGTAAAATTAATTGTGTCTACAGCAAAACATTGGAATGAATATGGCCACAACAACCAGGATACAAAGTACTGATGAGTGTTGGCTAAATTGTGTGAGCAGATTCTTGACGCTAGATTTATTACCAGAAACCGGTCCATGACTGTAGATCACCCCAGTCAGAGGAAACATAATTAGTTTTCTTCAGGATAGCTAATAGGCCTCAAAGTGGCGAAACAGTGTTTTCTCCAAAAAAATTCACCTGCAGAGATTATGAATGTGGACTATCGGCACAAAGAGGTCAAGGTCGAACGTGGTAAGGCACCAGCAAACTGAACCAAACTATGCAAGAACTGGTAAGTTTCACAGCCGATGGATGAAGATAAAATCACATTATGAGAAACTGTTGCTGGCAGTTATGCACCCCCCGAGGCCGAGAAAGACGATTGTGGAGGATCACGTTATTAAAGGCTTCTGCATAATTCAGTGGCGCTAGAAAAAAAAGATGCGGAAAATGCGAATTCCCATATAAACGAATGATTGGAGCTGTACCTCCATGAGAAGATAAACTAGATCTTGTAAAATCGGAAAAGCGTGAATGAACATGAAAGACACTTCAGGAAGATTCTTGTTATTACGAATGTTTCGTCGGCCCCAATGAGCTCAGAATAACAAAGGGGTATTGTACAGTTACTTACGAGTATATATATTATGATAGCAGGAGGAATTCACAAGGCGCCAAAACGATGTTTTTTGAAGCATGGTTCACTCAAAGAAAAACATCGTCTGAGAGAAACAGAGCGTGACTCACCTCAGGTATCGATTCTCCAGCCAGAGAAACATAATTTGGTTGGGTGTTTGTCAATTCAGGATGGGAGGCACTTATCACAGGTACTGATTGACTTGAATCGTCAGCTTGACTTGATGTACGAAGATTACTGACACCGACCTCTGAGTAGTTCACGACTGTCGAAAGAGCAAAACGGTACTTACGGTATCACAAACAGGGATATTGGTTCAAAGTTTGACAAGCATTGGGGATGAATGGCATGACAAATTTACTTGAAGGACAACACGGGCAAGGAATATGGAGTTCACAGTGGCATATTGCAGTCTGTTCAGACCAGCCGGAGAGCTACAAGGGGAACTGACTGGTGCACCAACTGATTCACTGATCCACCCAGCTAGAATTTCACGTGCTGTGATTGTTAGTGAGCCATTCAGCCACGGATGGAAACATAACTGATGTATTTCTACGGACGTCAAACACCATGCAAACATACCGAGAAGCCACAGATGATAAGCGGCAGAAAAAAACGAACACCGGTCTAGGTGGATAGCGGAGTAAACGTGAACATGCACATGAAGAATGTACTAAACACAAACTGATGTTGGAAAATGATTGCTAGGTACATCAAACATGCTGCTAAAGCTTGTAGATATGATGCCTCTCAAAAGCATGAAATTTAATATTGGATGACACGTAACGAGCGTATCACTTTTCGACAGAGAATCATATGATAGTAAGTTCTACGAGTAAGAGAATTGGTCATAGCAATAATTTCATATATTGACTTTTCGTCACTCACCTAAGAGCACAGAGGAGCCGACAGTAACATAAACTCCGATAGGCTGACGAAAAGCCTCTGAACGAAAGTGAAGTACCAAGACACCCTTTGCCGACGCCGGATACTTTTGGTGTGGCCGTTACATAAAAGAAGGGCTTCTAGATGAGGGTTATTGACTGGCTAAATCATGACGCAAAATACCTGTATGTCCCCTTCACGTTCCTCGATTACCGCTGACGCACATCAGTGGGTGGAAGTGCACTCGAAAACAGTCATTCCTTGTCGTTTATCACAGCCCAGCCGCGAATTTCACTATTGAATCTACTCCAGAGAAGAAATCTTGCAGTGTGAAACGTCACTCAGAATCCCGGCTATGCGAACAGTTCATAAAATGCATCAAGTCTGTGACCCCACTTGTCCGATTTGATTGGACGATGGAAAACTGTTTAAATAGAAGCAGCTTAACGGACCGCGATAGGATTAACTGAAATGCGACCGCTGAATGTAGAAAATGTTCAAATTACGAGGTCGTCGTCTTAGACCACCCAGTCGCAGGTTGCGGAACTTCAGTGGGACCAAACTATCCTTTCGACAGCAAACATTGTTCTACCGAAAGTGGCTCAGAACAAAGAACGTCGATTTCGCGCATCCTGTTTCAGCTGGATTACCATCTCCCGTTTTGATTGCACTTGATGATAATTAACGGTGCACACTTCGCGTTAGGGATAGAACAGAACGACTAAACTAGTGAACTACTACAGCCTTCGGGAAAGAGTTCACTGGATGGCGATGAAAACCAAGGAGTTTTAGCCAGAATCCTGGTCTNACTGAAATGCGACCGCTGAATGTAGAAAATGTTCAAATTACGAGGTCGTCGTCTTAGACCACCCAGTCGCAGGTTGCGGAACTTCAGTGGGACCAAACTATCCTTTCGACAGCAAACATTGTTCTACCGAAAGTGGCTCAGAACAAAGAACGTCGATTTCGCGCATCCTGTTTCAGCTGGATTACCATCTCCCGTTTTGATTGCACTTGATGATAATTAACGGTGCACACTTCGCGTTAGGGATAGAACAGAACGACTAAACTAGTGAACTACTACAGCCTTCGGGAAAGAGTTCACTGGATGGCGATGAAAACCAAGGAGTTTTAGCCAGAATCCTGGTCTATGAGATCAGTGGACGGAGATCCTTCGGATGCTTCTTTTGCACAGCTATTTAACGGTCAAAAATGTTTGCAGCTAGTCCGTAACACTAAAAACGAAAAATTATAATAGAAAAGCTGGTTTTTAATTGACATTATTATCGGTGGAAATGTATCCACACCGATTATCATTGAACGTTAGTTGAGAGGCCTGTTGTGAAGCGGCTCATCAGTTCACAGTGGTTTACTCAGAATCACATCATGACGAACAGATAGCGAGCGAATCCACAGAATAAAGGTTGCCCTTTCTTCGCCGCAAGCAGTAACGACACTAATTGGCGCATACATGCGATACCAAGACAGATTACATCAATGTGCTGTGGATACAGTGGAGAATTTCAGTGTGCCCTTCAATATATTGTCTCCCTAAACGAGATCAACATATCAGCATCCGAAACAAAGGTAAAGTAGTTGTGGTAATGGTCGAAGGAAGACTGTTAGAGGGCTACTGTGTGATCCTTATATGATATTCAGTGCTATCACCAGTTTCGTAAACGACATTTTTTATATGAGCATTCTCTGGTGAACCCCGTGGACGAAGAATAAAACCACTAATCACACAAAATTAGCTTTTTTTTACAAAACACAGGACCAATATCAAAAAGCAGACCTAGGAAATGATCAAAAAACGACGAGGCTTGGAGATGAAAAGTATGGGATCTGAGTGAAGCGCTTAATGATCGGGCCTTGGAACAACTAATTAGCAGGCACAGAAATGAATAAGCGAACGAAAGAAACCAGTGGCGACCGGATGATGAGAGAAAACTTGCTCACTGGCTGTAAACAATTCCAATTCCAGTATAAAGTACAATATTGAAGTTGGCGAATGGAATGCACAGGCAATATGATAACAAGAAGCAGTCCGGTATCGTTTAAGCGGACGCAACACTACGATTGAAACTTCCAGCAAACGACACGAGGAAATATGGGAAAAGCGGAAATGAGAAACGAAACAGAAGCAACTTTCACAGAACCAAATAATGTCAATTACATATTGTGACACCAGTCATACTGTTGCGTAGAATGAGCACAACACCGTTAGTAGCAGCAGAAACAGGCAAGATACGTGTTATCATTTCATTAGTATTGCAGGGAGAACAGCAAAGGATGCACAGGGAGGAAAACAGTGAGCAACGATTACAACGACAAATGCACAAACATACAGGAGTGCAAGAGGAAAGGGAAAGTGAAAGTGGAAAAAGGAAGTGACTCGGTTATACACATACATAACGGATCTACAGGAATCAATACACATATCTGGCTAGATGCACCGAGAGAGAATTGAGAACAAGTTCAGGACGACGGAGATGGACTGTGACCACTTACATACCCTACGTATAGTGCTTTACATCAAGACAGGAAAGCTCAATCCAGAAGCATCCAAATTTACGGAGTAGCACATGAAACATTCGGGAAGTGAATGAAGTCATTGGGTTTAGCTAAATTTTCCATAAGTTGATACAACGAAGCCAGGATAGCATAAGCTTCAGTGTAATAACAATGTGACGGAAGATATCACGGCCATTTTCATGTGCTTCTGAGCAGCGTACGTCGATTTTTCACTCCAAGGAGCTGAAGATTACCGCGCACTTCAAGCTATCACCAGGGCAGTATAGATCAAGCATATTGAGCAGCGGAGAACACAGCAAACACTAGGAAAGTACAGCACCCGGAACGGTTCAAAAACGAGAACACTATTGAGGCCAGAGACTCACTTTGAGTACTAAGGGGATTCCGTAAAGAGACCTCCAAAGGAGGATTATCTATGGCCCTGGGAGAATCTGCGCCGAAATTCCGTGCGTGAGGGATCTGCTGTTTGCTAGAGGAAAAAATGGAAGTGCAAGAGCATGAGAAGGTTACCTAACAGACCGTAGATAGCCGTAGAGTCATGAGTGCCTCAACGACAAGAGATCTAATTATTGAAATAAAAAAGCAAACCAGGACCATCGCACCAAGATGATTGACGAATGATATTACATGCTGACAAAAGTAACGAAACAAACAAGGCTATGCGCATAGCCTGTGGGATGTGATATGGATAGAAATCGGCCCTTCAAAAGCTTACGAATTGTAAGTCCAATAGGGGAGACAACAAGTGTGAGTGCGGAAGTGATATCAACAGAAAGCCTGAACGTCGCAACAACACTTATTACTGTCGAAACTACATATCCACAGCATTGTAAACAATCGTAACGACAAAAAATACGTTTCGTACTGTGTTCTGATGCCAGCTTTAGCTAGAATTATCCCTAAAAGATGACAAGGATTATGATAATAAATAATCACTACTGGGGCACACGTAAACAGCTGGGTCCTGACCAAATAAATAAATGTAGCAGTGATAAGATAAGTTGGCTTTATGAAAAACATATTACAGTTTACAGTGCAGTCCGAAGCTCCTAAATTTTTCTCTTTACTGTTCAGTTTACCTATTATCAAAGTGCGGCTTACCTGCTCCACTCAAATTTTTAGTCATAAGAACGGACGCGAGTTTCCATCGTCAAAAACTACATAACAACTTAAAACAGGGAAGCGTAAGCGCTTTAGGGAGAGATTACTCATCACTTACCACAACTAGGAATAAAACGAACACGAGAAAAATTTGAAGTAATAAATCATATTTCTCGTTAGTCCAAACATAAAGTTTTAGGAACGCAGTGGGCCTGGTGTCTGGTTGGAGATTTTCTATCTTAGGCCTTGAACACGCCACAGCCAAATGAACGCCTGCTTTGCTGAATATATCCAACGGACTTTCCTCCTTTCTCAACACAACTATCACCATCCTGAAATTAGACAGCTGTCTTGTGGCCCATAATCGCCAGTGAAGAATTTATGTCCGGTTCGACAACAGGCCTACACTTCACCGCAGTTTTCGGCCAAGGGGTGGGCGCAACTTTGTAAGCGGGCTAAATAACAAACGGCCGAATTCCCGAAACTGTGCCATTCAAATCAGAAGTGTAGCCAAGACCAACCCTATAAACAGCATAATCCACGGCGTAGGTGATGTCAATTTCCAACGGGCGTGTGAATGGGTTTGAACCAAGCTTTTACGTAAGACCACGACGGTTTTACTGAATAGTCACCGATAGTTAATAAGAACCTGATAGATATCCACCCACGGACTTGAAACGATCAGACGTATTAGCAGAGACGTATACGGATCCTGGAAAATCAGCCGTAAGAGAGTCTTACTGATTGATCAGATGGTTGAGTTACAGGATCACTGACTGTCGAAATTCAGATAGTCCATCCGCTAAGTCTTATACATATTCCCGTTTTTGAAAATGAGTTCAGCAGCCGGAAGGGAAGCAATAAGACCATACCCTTCAATACTACTCATAAGTTACGTGAAAACTCTGAACCCATTAGTGGTTTCGTCCTCCTTGAGCCTAGCTGTCGAATTCCTATCAATCGTGTTTCATACAGTAAACACTAAATTGTATGTTGTAACACACACTCAACTGCAAATTCACCCGGAGCGAACGAGGAACTCAGATGCGATTCACCTGAATCTCCGGTTCACAAGATCCTTCACAGAAATAGCAGCGGAGTATTTTTTTCATACAGGAAACTACTCACAAGGTTGCCAAAAACTCTTGTGAGTAGTTTCCTTTATGAAAAATATACTGCGATATCTCGAATATCGTGCCAACTGAAACATGAGGCAGCCTGTGGGCAGCACATTCAGTAATAGAATATCATAAATGAGAGATTCAGTTGATTGTCTCGTGAAAACCGAATGGATTTGCAAATAAATGTATTTCTCGAAAGCAGCTGAGTATCCCGTTGACACCAAAGCATTTTACCAGCGACTGTTTGCCGGTGCATATGCACAAGTTGGCATCCAAGCAGGATATAAGGGTGATGAGAAGTCCAGTGGTGAGTTGTATTATTTGAACATACACCAGTATAAAATACTGGTGCACTTCTGCCAACAGGGATGACGATTAATTGATACGGCACTCACTGAGAAATACGGCGGCCTTCGTGCTGCACCATCAAATGAAGAATACTGGGAACAACAGATTCAAATGAATCGCAACTGTTCCACGACAGCAGCCGGGCCAAATAGCATTTGTTGCATTTTACGGAAGATCTAAGGATAGTGCAGCAGTCGCTTGACTGCTGAAATTTTTGCTGCAGCGAAGTGAAATGGCTCTTCAGCTGAATGATTAAAGTGCGAATAATCACAAATAGAACCAAGTTCCATAGCTTCATGTGTAAATGGACGTAATGCAAGTATGTGGGCTTTTTAGAGACCCGGAACAAAAGAGTTCTCCTAGCAAATCCACTCCACAAACCAATACTGACTACGGGAGTTGTGAATGCATATAACAGGACGGATACAGTCGGTTAGATATATTTTGACGACAAAAAGCACTGAACGGGTTTAGACGATGTCAGTCTGAATGCACACACCCGACATCCATGAGGCACAGGTCAGATGCGATACTCGAAAAGGTAGGTAGCTAGGTAGCAGCTTTAGTACTGATTCAGCAGCGGCATTCCGGCGGTTTGTCGATGACCGCACGGATTGCTATGCTAATTGGTAACAAATATGATAACAAACATATTTACAACGGCCCTGGCCACCCCTGTCAAACTTCGATCCATTGTCTCCTCACAACCTCTGGGTACCCACGCGGACCTCAAAACGCCGTGTAAAATTGAGACGGCAAGCATCCAGTAGTTATGTTAAGTGGGGTGGAGAATAGAGTTGACCTGTGGAATAGTTCTGACTGACATTAAGGTAACGTGGTATGGTTGTCAGTTGCCTGGCCTTAGTTGAGTTCGGAAATTTCGCTCCCTTGCTGTACGTACTGATGAAAGACGCTCACTTACTTAGAAGGTTGAGTAAGTACTGGGAGGCGTTCATTTTCAATGGATATCTGAAAATTAGGACGTAGGAAAATGGAACTGTGAATACTGAAGAAAAACGAACCGGTTAGGAATAACAATTGTCAGAGACATTTCACCATGGCGCCAAGTACATTATCATAGGAGAAAGGCGAGTAGAACGTCATTTGAATTATAAATGTTTACACGTGAACTCACTAGGACCGTCCCTGGATCATACGAGATGGAGCTGGGTTTTTGGCCAGAAATATTTTCCCGTGATTCGTTGACATCAGAGAGTAAACCTTTCCTGGGAGGAAGTGCCCGCCCAACTGAGCTTTCTTCGTCTAGCTCCACATCACTGAAGTCTTCTAAAATTGATCACCGAAAATGAAAGCCCGTGAGGACAAAGTGGCCAAAAGAGGAACAACGGATGAAGTTCCTAAGCTCGGAAGATGAAATATTCAACTTCCAGTTTCTACCATCTGGCGGTCCGTTCACGAAAAAACATTCATAAACCAGTGGATTCATGCGTGGGCGGATTCGATCAAGATTTAGCATAATCACATGCTTGTATGGGAAAGGCGAGAAATCCGAAAAGAAAACATACATCATTTCGAATGTATTCCCCTTCATGAAGGAGAGGATAACATCGATCAGTCATATGCGATACACACGCATAGTAGAGGTTAACGATCATGGACGATACAGAATGAGGTCACGGCAGGCCAACGGGCTGCGGTTGTCAAGAGATTGGGTAAATCAGTCAGAAAAATTGCCAGTCAGGTGCGGCCTGATCAGCCTAACACACACTCAAGAAACGCCAGGGGATAGAAGGTACATATAATATGGAGCACAACAGGTAGTACCCACTCGCTGTGTCATCACTACCCCGGAAAAAGGCGGCTCCGGCACTAAACTGAAGCGCCATGTGGTTGTCTACAGAGCTAAAATGATGAACAGTTGTGCTGCAGTGGTGGTCATGGAAAAGCAAGGTTGACGTCAGGGGAACATATCTCATGACATGTACGCACCAACACGCGATAACCGGGTACACACTGAAATCTTCGGGAAAAAATAACAGCTAAAGAACATCACAAACGAGAGATTCTGCTGGATTCTAGGTGAGTTTCTCGCGTAGCCAAATTTGTTTCCAAATGAGTGTATCCCGCTAACAGCTAAGGAACTTGACGCCAATAAACAAGGGCGTCCAAAACTCGTTAAAGAAGAATAAGGAGGCTACAGAATAAACTGCTGAGGTTGTGTCTCTCTGTTTAAGGTAGCTACGCAGTGTTCAATAAGAAAAGAGTAAATAAACAGCGTTCTACCTCAACATGCTTGATAATGACGAACTGAGCTCAGTCGCATACACTAAATAACAGAGAACAGTTAGCACGCGGAAAAACCTACACATCAGAAATAAATCAAGAGATAAAACTTAGTGCGAACCACCGTAAAGACCGTTGCAGAACAATGTGGCCTGAAGTCACCAGATCTGCCTGTGTGAACACGTAGATTATCGGAAAAAAGATGCACGAATAAGTGGGTGGTAACCGTGGCGAACTTCAGAGCAGGACCTGCATCGTGTGCTCAAGTGAACTGCAAGCGCCTGACAGTTCCATTGACTTTGTTGTTGATCTGTTCGCCGAACTTGGTGGCTGGATTGCAAACGTTTCATCACCAATCGATGGGACATCGCCAGTGCGGGGTTGAGTTGAATGATCTTATCGTGCACTTATATCTATTGAACTTACAGACAGAATCTTCCCATCCAAGAAGCAATAATTAGTACAATTTAGTTTTACTTCAGTGGCTTCACCATACCTCACTAGGACACATGAAGACACTGCGACTTCGTTTAGGAATGGAGCAATCAACATCACGACCGTTATGAACACAAACAATTGTCGAATACAACAAAAGAACAGTTACCCCTAAGTGACTGTGCAAACAGAAAACGGGGATGCTGATTGAAAACGTCGTTGACAACGCATCGTCAGGGAGTTTCAGAACTAGCGAATTAACCACACAAACGATACTCAATATAAACGGAATGAGTCAACATTGCGAGTGTAGTGCATAGGACCAACAAAGGTACCCTCCACAACGATCGCAGGTAGATATTAGGATATGACAAACGTAATAGTGCTGGGAACTAAATGAATCCATATGTCGACGATGGGCATTCATGATGTCAGCAAGCGATAACTTGACTGGTATTATTAATTCTTTAAGAAAATTAAGTTGCAACTATTCCTAAATTCGCATTCAGACGCAAATGTTCTGCGACTCCAAAGACTAGCCAAACAACGCTGAAGCATAAACATTTTCACCTGTCCAGACGTAATGATTTAGGTGTGTCCAGCATGTGCTGTTTTAGTGGTGCTCGCATTTGAGATGTCTGGAGTTCAACGATGTACACTACTGATGAGCTTCAATCGAAGCGAAACTCAAATCCGGTTCTTTCCGTCTTTGGGGTGGGATAACATGAACAGTTGCGCCAAGACAGGAGAGTGACGATTCAAACAGGCGATGTGAATAGACCTGTTACGTGAAGTAAAACAAAACTGACGGCACATACCCTGGAGAGCAGAACAGTCATACCAGTAACATAGACGAATCAGTTGAAATGTATGTTGTATGAGATCGTCTGGGTATAATTGAAGGATTTACCCACACTTTCTCATTCACCTTATACACCTATTAACGGTACCAATCACAGGAAATAACGAGCGTCCGTTCCCCACAAAATTCCTCCTGTCGGTCACTCTCTAGTGCACGGCGACCCTGTCGAGGCCAAATTGCATTATTCCTATTATTACCATATCTCTACAAGGAACTTAAATCGGTTGACTATGTAACAGAGGAGTAGATAGCGTAGTCACTTACCATTTTGACTCCATTTCCGCAGAACACACAAGTTAACCGACCCGTTTTCTGAAGATAGTTGTTCCAAGAGACGATCCAAGGAGGAGAGATTTATGGACTCCGTAGGCGAAGATGGGATGGAATTCAAGTCGAAATCGTTCAATCGAACGAGGATATCACCTCTGGTAACATCACATACATCAGCGGCGCTACCTAATGAAAATGAAACATGGGCAGACGAAAAGAAAACAGCAGTTCTGTGAAAAACACAACTGCACTGTGCGGCGCAGAATACAGCCCTATAAAGAGGATTTCCTAGTGTGAATCACAGTCGTTTGTTAATCTCCACGGGACCTTGTTTGTCTGTACGTTCCGCCCCATACACGCATCGACTTACCACAAATACCAGCCATATAAGTTAGGGGAGTGTAAAATACGTGCGTTAGGTAATTAGAGAGGATGCGAAAAAAACAAAAGGAATTCAACCTGACAATGGAAAACATTGTGTCGATCAGTTCGGAAAATACCAACACCATTGTCAGTTGGGTCTGGGTCACAAGGATGCCCGTTGTAGGTAGAAGTAATATGTGATGAACGAGTGCTGTCAACAGTAAGGAGGGTCTGATTAGGCATGACCTTTCGGTTTAATATGCCAGTGCAATTTGTACCAAAGCTGATGGAATACATAGCAACAAGCTGAACTGTTAGCCGTAATGCGGCCGTGTAAAAATGCGGAAAACAGCATTGTTCCTTCCTGCCTCCCAAACCTAAAAGGATTACTTCTGTGTCTGATTGGAATTATGCCAAATCCATGTAATTAGCGTTTGAGTCTATGGGAATGGTACGAAAGGGATAGTTGTACAAGAAAAGTTTGGATATTGCATGGTGCAAGTTCAACGTGAATTTGTCCACATAAACGGAGGTATTCTAAAACATGAATACGAACAGATATCAATGAAATTCTTGTAGGCTTTTATACAGACCAGCTGAATAATTGTTTGGAGTTGACCAAAAAGCATGCGGCATACATTGGGAAGTCACTCTTGGAATACACAAGTAGCGTATGAAGAATAGGTGCCACGGAACCCTCTTGCCAAAACACCCATGCATCACTTCGTTTTGTTTCGATGACATTTCTACAGAACACCTCCATTCCTGTTTCAGGGTGACCACAAAATCAGTCCTCTAGCCATGAACGTTTACCACTTTGCACAATCCCTGTGCTAATATAATGGACGGGCCTTGATGCTGTGAAGGCCTGGAACACCGGACTACTTTGTCTGCAAACTACATACGCCTGTCTACTTAAGGCAATGAGCGGAGGTATTAAGCATTCGTGTGATGAACTCACTCACCACAGGCTCAGTAAAAACTCGAAAGTGATGACAAGCACCTTCGGGAAGCTCGGAAAACACTACAAACCAGCATTCCCATTGTTAGTCTGTTTTGGACAGGGGTCGTGATTGCAATACCCTATTGACAGGAAGGATGAGAAAACTCCACCACTGATTGCAGGTCTCAGGAGGTTTAGTAGAATGATAAGCGGCATTGTACTGTACCTGTTACTAGGCCGTGGGAGCCGAAGACGTTCACTTGTCTTCTAACAGTTTGCGGTTTTTAGGACTTTGTGCGTTTTTTAACGCGCCTCATGGACAGTTTAAGCAGTAACCACCGATTTCTTGGAGTTGGAAAATGCAAACTCGAAATGGAAGCTTTATCCGCCAAGTAAAACGGAGAATTAGCAATATTGAACTATTCATGAAAGTCTGTGCGTACGTTCCAACACTGAATAACCTAGTACTGCCACTAGTTGCCATGGGTAGACATGAGGAACGGATATTTGAGCAGAACGAAGCCGTGCTTCGCGCTTCTTGCACTATCCGAAGTTAACTTGTGCTCTGTTTCGTAAAGGTGTCGGCAAAACTACAGAGTTGACTTCCACCAAATTAAAATCCTATAGCATTGTGGACTGAGTTTACAGCTGCCCTGAAACATAAAGTGAGAAGCGTCGGTCAAAATCTTATTCATATACCAAAATTACCTATCGAGGTGACCTATGAAATCTTTGAGGCAAAAATTAGGAAATGCTATCTAAGCCTCTCAACCGCCTGCACCAATTTTGCTGTTCGCATTCCTTACAATAGGCTAATTCGTTAAAGTAGTGTGTAAATTGCGGGATTGGTTTCCGGCTAGACAAGTCACTTGCTGATACTTCTAACTATTCGGAATTAGGATGGAAAAATAGTGGTCCCATAATTTTGCCACTGAGTGTGCTATGTGCTGAATAGACCAGAATCATTCAGTGAAAAAGCCTAAATAGCAGTAGACCTCACGAGGTGCGAATCAAGCACAGTCCTTGAAACCAACGTATCACGTGAGAATTCTTGAGTTCAGTGATACACATGACACAATATATCCCAAAACACGCGAAAAGAGTTGTGATGGTAGAAACAAGTAGGCGCCAGGTATGCGAAAAAATCACGTGACCTACGAATAGAACAGTTGACCAGAATGACCACCAAATGCTAATCAAGTAGCCACAACACATGCGTTTTCGCATCAAGCCTACACCCGACGGAATGTAACTGACTCGGAAGCTCGACTGAATGTGCAAAGTATCTGTTTTTGCTTGATGTTCAATAGGCTGTAGATTACATCTCCACATCACAAGCAGTCAAGTGTACACATCAATCGGCGCACATGGTTAGAGCTAGATCGGCAACGATCAATCGACTGCATTGAACCAACAGTGAGCATAAAGAAGGCCACACTGAGTGAGGATTAATTTGTTCTTCCACGCAAAAAAACAGAGAAAAAGCAGAGAAATTAGAGAACTTCTGTGAGGGAGACAGGGGAAATCTCCTGCTGGCGAAATTTGCCCCAAGAATGGTGCGAGCCTACAACTTAGGTGTAGCAGATTACACATCATGGCGCATTCGCGCTGGGCGTAAACTATGTTCACTCCTGCGCGGATTATAGACATTCATGTCAGACACTACATTGAGATACCGCGCATTGTCCTCGAGTTTCAACAATGAAGAAGCACTCATTTACACACAAATCTGTTTTAAGCGGAAGACTAAGATGAATCTCCTATTAGCGCTATTATTCCACAGAATGTGCTGCACAAAGATCATCTAATGTTTCAGTAGGCACGATATTCGAGAGAACGCGGCATACTTTCTTGAAAGAACGCTACTCACAAGGGTGCTGGAAACACTTCAACAACCAACGACCGGTTTTGCACATCTTCAGGATCATCAAGTAGGCGCAATCCGTCAACCTTATGTTCGAATTAAACCCAAATTGTACGAAATTAGCGAAGCATTTTCAGGTGCGCACTAATTTCAAGGGCTGCACCTACCTGATGAGATAAAGAAAGGCGAAAGCGGTTTTGGGTTGTCGAATATTTTTTTTCAGCGACTTTATCGGTAGTTTCCTTCGCGAAAGCACTAGCTTGCAATAAGATAAGAAACCATTATTCTTACCTATATGCTATGACCAATCACCAGCAGACCCATAGGCGTCCACGACCCACTCCCACTTTACGTTCACCATATCTAGTGGTTTCCTGTGAGGTTCACTTCAGATTACCTTCTCCCACAAATACACTGCGGACGTGATTCAATGATTCCTTCCAGGAGAAACCTCTACGAATAGATGCCACCTCTTTGTATAGTTCACGGTTGAGTTCTTTATCATACAGAACCTAACCTGGAGCTTCCGTCTACTAAGAGAGCCCCTCCCAAAATGAAAGCTGCATGTGAATTTTCTTCACCTGTTCAAAACACTTCGAGGGTCAAAGCGCGGTCTACCTGAAAAATCAGAGAACGCCGGAGATACCGCAGTTCTTTGATTGGGCTTTGGAAAGTGAACAATTTGTTTGCATTGTTTCGGTGTGTAATTCACACACTCCAAATGTAAGAATGAATAGGATTGAACCGGAAATTCTCATTCTGAGTAAAAAGAATGCGTCATGTAATTGATATCCTCGCTGTACCGAGATCTTGTTACATTAACATGGTCTTCGTACGTATTTTGTAAGACGTACTAGGTACATGCGTGTACAAACGGTGGAGAACCTAGCGCAGTAACGCTAGGCCATCTCAGACAACATTAAGAAGTAAAGTCGTGATCACATGTTAGACATGTGATCATTTCTACTGCGGATCACTCACACGTTGAATAGACGAAGAAACAGTTTCACTTAAGCAATCAGGATGGTTTGGAAGGCCTCGGATGTGAACATCAAAGCAAGGGAAGGTAAACCTACGAACCAGACAAAAATCACAAGCATTAGAAACTTAAGCTCCCTATAGGGTGGAATGCGTGAATCGATCACCCGCTCAGTAGGCTAGCGAGGCTTTACCAGTTCCGGCAACCGTATGAGGGGGGAGGGGGTCGACATGGGAGCAATGTGTTCGTTCCAGTCAAAAGATGGGACTTTATCACGAAAGCCGGGCAAAACTCACAAGACTTCGACACGTACGGCACGGGCATGACATCAGATTGTTCAACGGACTGCACAATGCTACAATGTACTTGCTTCTGTCACGTTGGTCAAAAGAGTTGGTACTGGGGGTAAAAACAGAAATGCTCAATGCATGATCATCCGTGTCTCTCAGCGTTGCTTGGGGCTTATGTGAACACTCAGCTAACAATAATGTCAAAAGGTTTCCCGGAAAAGCCACCACAGATGAGTTACTCACACTACATGACCAACGCCGATTGGAACCAATATCTCAGGTTCCTCTGTCCCAGGAAAGTGCAGAACGAAAATGATTCAAACATGATCAATGTGAGAACAGCCAACCCAGTTGCCATCTCCCAAGATATGGAGCTCCAGATGAGAAACCCAATTCAGGAAGACCTACAGACATGTGTCTGCAAAATGGGGGTGTAAACACACAAAGACAGGATGCATTTATTCTGAAGACAGGGTGTGCTTCAAAATAAATAGAAAAGCTTTTGGCAGTGTGGATGACGACAGGATTAGCATACGAAATGCAGAATGTTGAACAACCGAAGTAGAGTTTTTGTGACGCACAGGGTGAAACCACACTCAATGAACCAGTTATCCACGCAGCTTACCGATTTTCACGCGCTCCACCACAAATGGGGCAGTCTCTAAGGGACCTTCAGCCCGTAAAGTGAGACCCCATCGAGGTTCAGAGGTTTTCATCAACGGATGAATACGAATTTTGACTTCCTTATATTCCTTTGGGGAGAAAACACGCGATTGCGCCGGTTCGACCGCAATTTCCCTGTTTTGGGAGGCGCTCCCCTGAGGCGGTTGTGGACTGTCGACTGAAATCACATCAGAAATAATATTATTCACAGGCTGAGTCTGAGAATATGAGGCAATGTGTCCGGGTTGGACTTCAGGTTGGGAATCAGGAACGGCAGTTCCATCATCGAAGATTTCCACTACAGGCTGAGAATCCGAAACGACACTGATAATGTTGATAGGTTCGATTGCAGGCTGGGGAATAAGATGTACGGCAACAGGGCAGATTCAAGGATTAGCACTTAAAGGATCAAATTCGGAGAATAATATACACAGACCCAGGGGACATAAAATCATCAAAACAATAGAATTAAGCTCAAATGAGACTGTACCTCAATATGAGATTATTCACAAACGATTGAACCACGCTCACCGAAGTTCATAACGTTTTTCTGTCAAGCCAAGTTCTAAGTTTCTTGACCATTTGACAGATAAATAAATAAGGCCGTTTCAGGATTAGTGGCAAACCCGTGCGGGATCGTGCATATTACAGGTCAAGATCGTTTCTTTTATTCTGCTTTCACGACCATTGCAACCAAAAACATGCGAAATGGCAGTGCACAACGTATCTTCTAAGTGATTATTGGCCCGAATACGATTATGGATGACTGGTAATGTTATGAAGCAATGTAACAAAACGACCTAATACCCTTCCAAGAAAACGTCCACAAGAGTGACGATAATTGCCCTCTATCAGGGGAACTAAAACTGACCTATCTGAAAATACCGCATGAACAGACTGACCGGGAGCAGACCTGAAGCAAGCCTCAGGGAACGTAACAAACTTGGCAATCCTCAAAAGGCTTCTCCCAGTGAGGAGTGACTGTGTCTTTAAAGTGGATACACTGTACAAATAGAATCACTACTACTAAACTACACACACCAAAAAATTTAGTGGAATGACAGAAACAACATACTTACGGAAAAGATGCAATCATGCAAACAAAGGGGACCAGTTAGACCGGACAAAACAACAAGAGGATAAAGATGCATAAAAACTTACACGAGGACCCAAAGAATCGGAGTGATCCACAGGGTATGGTATGCTGGACTCTAGCTTTTGAGCAACAGGCTGAATTACTTCATCGTTTTGGTCCACGTGTGGTTGTGCCAGCTCCGCATCCAGTGAAGACGTCTCTTCGCTTAAGTCGAAAACATTTATCCCCCCACCTCCAGTGAGTAGTGCCATCCCCGGACTACTAGGGGGTACGGGACGAATTATATCAGTTGTCGGAATGTAACAATTGGTAGAAAGGCTTCGTTGACTTCTGTCATGAAAGAGAGAGGAAACCGATCCGATAGAAAACAGTGTCAAGCCATATTCTTGAAAATCATCATTTCGCCGTGCAAACGCTGTCGAAACCTTTTACAACAAACAATATGCTGCAATAATGATAATCACTTCTGGCTAGTTCCGTGAATTCGCTATCGTCTTGTTTCGAGGAATAAGCAACTAAGCGATAGCTTTTACGGAGAATCGCCCCTAACCATCAATGAAGACAGATGAGTTTCAAAGGGTTCATTTCTAAGAAACAGAAACAGTTTAAGCCGTCCGTCAGCAGTATGCAATTCTGAACCAAGAACAAGCAAAATATATTGAGACGACAGGGAATTACTTCAACTCCAAGTCTAGATCAGGTGTACTGTTCAAAGTCTAGTTTCATCTTGGTATAAGAGTTTATTACACGGTGTGACTTGGGAACTGCACGATGTAGATAAACCATTTATTACATAGAGCAAGGCCAGGCTGACGAATGAGCCACTTATTCAATAAGTTGATCACGGAAAAATCTTCTATCAAATGAAACTGATGCAGGGAAAGCAAATAACGCTAGTACAAATTCTTGCCGAAAGAGAAAAATTTGTTTCTTGCAGACATGTCGCTTGTATGATATTCAGGGAATGCTTCCACTCTGCATGGTTTGTTTTCGAAGGTTTGGTTGACAAACTGACTTTGCATTGGTGTCCGTAAGCCCGATCGGACTTCGGTAGATAAAACTGGAAAAAATATGCCGCTTGGTTGTTGGTCTGTCTGTCGCCGAGCTTGGCAGTTGGATTGCAAAAGTTTCATCACCAATCGAGGTGACATCGTCAGTGCACTCAACCCTACACTGACGATGTCACCTCGACTGGTGATGAAACGTTTGCAATCCAACTGCCAGGCTCGGCGAACAGACCAACAACCAAACAGCGCACCCGAGCTACCTATATTCCACAACATTGCTAACACATGCTGGTATTTTCCCGAAGGGAATTATATTATTCAACATTCACTAGACAGTTTTATGCGATTTAATTCCAGACCAACTACACTGGGAACGCAGAGAAAACTTTGAGATGGGACTAAACGTGGTACTGTAAAGAAATCTGTCAAATCATATTATCCATCTAGCTGTGCCCTAGAAAGACACAGAAGGTCTCTGCCTTAGGCATATTCAACAATGTAAAATCTTGGTCACCGACTGCTAATTTTGAGGTGACAGTCCGGCAAAGAATGAGAAAACCAAACGAAATGCTTTTATGTAATAGAAACATGCCACTACTTGCAGATAGGTAAAATAGATTGACAGGCAACTAAAAAATAAAGACTATGATATCTATTGCAAAATTTACGACCAACATGAATGTACTTTATTTGGCGCATCCTATCACGAATGGCTTCTTGTTTTTTCTTCTCTTCTGCAACCTGTGCCTCCTCCAGCGAGGTCATCTTGGTTGCTTGCATTCTTGAAGCTTTCCGGCGTCTTTCGCGCCAAGCATCTAGATCCTGAAACGTCAATTATGATAAAAAGTCATGGGAAGACTAAATGACAGGCCGAAAAACGACATAGACTACCTTTTGGAACAAACATCAAGCCGAATAGAGATACAAAGGACAAGAATGGACATAGAAGCTATCTATTTTGCAGCCGCAAACTGATACCCCGTTTAAGAAAAGTTAGGAATGTCATTTGTCTTGTGTACGGAGTACAATTCCCATCATGCGACTTTTGCCGAACGATCGTATCAGCTGATCAAAATGAAGTGACCGACGTTCAGAGTCGACTAGGCCACCGATCTAACCGTTGATGAAGCGAAAGAAAATCCAGAAAGAGGACACGTTTGTGACCACATGGTAAGTGAATAAATTAGATGCAAACGCATACATAATTGAACCTGATGTGTTGAAGAAAGTGCAACGGAACAAACGTTTAGGCCAGTCGATACCTGCAGGTGCAACAGTGTGGAACCGGTAGCACAGCGAAACGGAATTAATAAGTAAGAATTCATTGAACAGAATGTGTCAGAACCTGATGATGCAGTGCTCCATCTGAAGAGCCACATATCGTCAAATATTATAACACCGTGTCAACCTGGAGAAACCAGAACCGTGTATTTAACTACAAGTGCTGGTGAGCCTCGGAAAGAGCAAAACAGCTGTTCATCATCCCGCCAATTATGATTTTACAACACTTCCCTTAAAAACCACACCACATTCATCCTGGTGCCGAATGATTTTTGAAAGGGAATAACCAGCATCGATCGCAAATGATAGTCTTACGGGTACACATTATGGTGATCGATCGCTTTGTAAGAGCAGTCTTAAGGAAGTCTATCTTCTGACTAGTGAATGATGGAGTTAGATTAACGCCACCGCTTTCTACCTACTTCTTGTTAGGCAACTACCGGGATTTCATTTGTACACAGCAGTAAAGCGATTCACTGTAAGTTTAATGTAGCGAGCTGCACAATGTAAAAGGTGTAAACTTCTATGAAAGAGAGCCACACAATGGCCATTAGTCCAGATACCTCTCATTTACAGTAAATCAAGTCAATCAAATTCATTGAATTTTCCAGCTTCGGTTGAGCTCGGGTCGTCCGAGTGACCATAGCGAAGTGAAACGACAATAACAAGTGTAATAACTTCATCCGTCGTGACTCGAACATAGTTGACTGGAAAAAAGTTCCACTTGTGTAGGAAAAACCGTTCTCACAAAAGGACATAAAACTAAATTTAGTCGACTGAGTTGTAAACTGAGATAACTCAGTTATACAGCCTGGACTGATAATGGATTAGTCCAAACAGTCCCGAAATTCGATTACAAAATTCCGACAAAGGTACCTAATAAAACAAAATCGCTGCATATTTCACATAATCAACAGCCACCCAGTTGATGAACATGAGCTCTTCAATACCTGTGTTTGTACAGAGATCATAACAGATAGGTGGTATTCAAAAGGACCATATGCGCCTTAAACCAAGAATTTTGACTGCGGGGCAGCGACTGGTGTGCTTCATACAACGAGAATAGCTCCCAGTTTGAGAAACACGCCACTACATACTACAGCACCAACTCAGGGTGCTGCCCAATGACCAGCCTGTGGATGTCGCGTGAGATCCGTTAACGATAATTGAACAGGTCGCTGGGGTACGCAGACCGATGTAACACGACAGAGCCTATTTTCTTCGCGCACTTTGGACGTTACTCGTGCATTGAAACGAGAAATCTAGACAGTAAAATCTGAATCGAGACTAGTGTTGCAGCGCCTCAAATACTGGCTTCAGGATGCCTCAAACAGGAAAAGGAATAAAGACAGATGAAGCAGCCTGGTGTTAGTCTATCACAGTTTGAAACAATTAACCATATAATCCAGGTACTAAAACCACCATTCAGATCAGCCTGCGACTGTATTTTGTACATTTAACCGATCACAGACCATATCAATCATTTTAAAGTCTAGTCCATGCACATTAATCACTACTCAAACAACATCATTCCAAATCATGCGGTGTTTACGGTACTCTTAACAGTGGGTGATGAGCCGGCAGGTGTCGTGCACGGCTGTCAGTTAAGATTATGGTCCTGTACACATATTTGTTGTGTAATAAAACACTCGATTTCCAGGCACTGGCAATTCGCTGGAATCATCTTACACCAATAGGAGTTTATATTTGCAAGCATCCGAGCGAAACAAACGAGTTGTAGGAAAGTGAACGCAAAACAAAGCAAAATGGGATGTTTCCGGTTGAATCTGAACCTGAAAAAGGGGAGATAAGAAACCTTGCAGTTAGCATAATCCGGAGAAACCACAGTCCAGAAAACTCTCGGTTCTAGTTGTTTCCATGAGACCGCCTGTCAGAGGAGAGCACCTACGACTGGTTCCTTTACAAAAGCAGGAGGCTGAGCGACTGTCGCTACGGAAAATAAGACTCGAGAATTCTTTCGCTTTCGATGCTAACAAGGTACCCTGGTACATAAAACAGGTTCATATCACGGCAAACTCACATCTTGCCATGCATCATCTCCAAGGCCATTATTGTTAGCTTGCGACGGTTCTGAGGAACTTGCTTGTGATAACTGAGACTGCTGCTTTTGGCATGTACCTTCAGTTACACTGACCGGCTGCTGCGGGGCGGAATCTGAATTGCCCATTGACTGGTGTGTCGGTCTGACAAATTGATGTGCCTGGGCGTGACGTTCAATTGTCAATGGCGATTTCCGACCAACTGTTCCGTTGACCAGATATGAGTCTTCTTGTTGGTGTTTTCGGAGAAATCGGGAAGTGATCCCGTCCCCGACACAACCTGACAAAGAACTCTGAATCAAAGACCTAGGTAGGACTCCGCCGAATGCGCTGTAGTCCAGCCTTGGTAAATGGGCACAAGTGGGATCTTGATCGGCGAACCTAGCAAGCCAGAAGAGTGATATTGCAACCTGTTGTGAACAAACAACAGAAAGCAATGAATGTGAGCCGTGGAGAATTCAGGTGGAACACAGATGCTGAAGGATATAACAAAAAGACTCTTATTCAAAGATGCTTCCGAGTGCTCAATATCTCTCCCGGTAACCGGTAAGGACACAGCCAAGACAGTATCACCGTTGGATATCACGAACAGTAATGCATAGATAAACAAAACCACGCGCTGGAGGTGTCACCAAATTCGACAGGCCAAAAACCTAGCATACTGGACCAAGTTGAATATTGAAAACTGAGTGTTTGAAACTGGCGTGCCAAGGCTGGTCTGGTTGTAGCTTGACCGATTCTATAACCAGCATGTATTCTAATGTACAAGGAAATCTCAACTAACATAGTAAGACAGCGTGGTTACCAGTCGGACCCAAAGTAGACGGTCGTGAATGTATTCATGAGAGCTGCTAAGGCATATAAGCAGCGCACAAAATTTTACTTGTTAAACCCATGTCCCAGGTGCTTCGTGTGGCAGCGAATTCAGGTGAATGAAAGGGAAGGGTACCTTAACTAGATATTGAACCAGCAGCCGATTGTACAAATCCATGCTCACCATACATGAGCGTTGCAGCTTCTTAGGCATCCTGGATAAGAACAGAAAAGCACGTTTTTCACAACTCATTACCACGCGCATGTGATGTGCACGTCAGTGGTTTCCTGATGGCTGAATTTTACAAGTGTTCAAGGGCACGACGCTTCCGTAACACTGTTTCTGCGACTTGTTTTCCGAAGACACGTGCTCAAAACAGTAAGGCGCGGCTGGATCCATAATGGGAAAGAAAAGCAAAATGAAAGTGGAAAACCTGATGAACCAAAGGTTCTGTGTGATAGTTTCCACGAATAGAAGCGCTAATAACAATAGCCACACTGCGTAAGTTTAATCCACTGAGACAAAGCAAAGAAAACGGCAAATGAGGACAACGAAACCATAGAGTTGTCGTCACTGAAGAGCAATGAACCGATAACTAACCCTAGCTGTGTGCAGTTTAGAAGTACCAAATGCTTTTAGAGTGAGAAAACAAGTAGAATACTACAAAAATATAGTGTGTATGTGTTCCGAACACGAATCAGTCTATTGGTTATTGGACCGCGTGATTATCAGATGGGGCTTTCTGACTATGGATAAGTTATAAATCAGAGGAGCATTGCACACAATCTGCCGGAAGTTTCCAAACCAAACACGTCAATAAAGAGGAAGCCGTTTTGATTGAAGTAGGAAACAAATGAAGTTCAACAAACCTAACTACCGCGCAGCCAAAACTAAGCACGAAAATGTAGACAAAAAGAATAAGACTCAGACGCTACATTTTCTTTTGAGTATTCAAGAATATAAATATCTCTAAACTAAGGAGCAGTCTGTTCTCGGAGTAGCATTGAGTGAATAGTGTGGCGGTTAGATACGAACGCATGAACTAACAACAATGAGAAGCCGAAATAAGATAGCTGTACAGTGAGTCAAAACTATAACAAGACAACCTAAACTGGAAAATCAACCAATAAATTAATTAATCGTCGTTAATGCTCCAAACTACTTCCTTTGGCTGTCGACCCGCCCGACAGCTACACCACCATATGTCGGGAGATCAACTGTTTTTCCATCCGAGACTCCCCAAAGACCAGTATTTCTAGAAATGACCTTTTTAATAGCAGGTATTGGAATATGATAAGGAAATTCATTCAACGGCATCTACACATCTGAGTAACTGCAAATAACAAAATGAGTAAAAAATTAACGGCTTTTCATAATAGAAAGGGAACATCTGGTAACTAATTAATGGAAGCAAGGCAGTAAGGTGCAAGTTAGAAATTTAAGATGATATCGATGTCGACGATAATGGTGAGGATAATGATGATCCTCTGCAGTTGAGCGCAGCAGAGCGCTTGGTTGCTAATGTGCTAACAGCACGGCAACAGGTCAGCAATATAAAAAATTAAAATACACAGTATGGAACAATGGAATCAAACACACTGTGGTGAGACTCGCAGAAAAGTCAAAAATGAGGGAAACTCACAGAAAGACAACACTTCCCAGGCGAATCTTTTAGAATGGTATATGTAGAAAGATGCGATTCCCGACATAGGAACGAGTTACACTGGCGTAGCAGATGATAGCAGAGACTAGGAAGACCTCGCTCAAGTTTATTCATAAAATTGCAACAGAGCACACCGAACCAATAGCATATTTGCCACCGGATGTTTCGTATCGACTAGCGGATGAAAATACCAGTGCATACATCCAATAGCTAATAGCCCTTTCCGCACACCACAGTACCGCCTATCAGTCACAGTGAGCTTCTATGCCTTATTAATCAATTTTTATGAATACGTGCGCACGCACACACACACATGTTTAGCACTCGAATTCAAAAATGAGGGAAACTCACAGAAAGACAACACTTCCCAGGCGAATCTTTTAGAATGGTATATGTAGAAAGATGCGATTCCCGACATAGGAACGAGTTACACTGGCGTAGCAGATGATAGCAGAGACTAGGAAGACCTCGCTCAAGTTTATTCATAAAATTGCAACAGAGCACACCGAACCAATAGCATATTTGCCACCGGATGTTTCGTATCGACTAGCGGATGAAAATACCAGTGCATACATCCAATAGCTAATAGCCCTTTCCGCACACCACAGTACCGCCTATCAGTCACAGTGAGCTTCTATGCCTTATTAATCAATTTTTATGAATACGTGCGCACGCACACACACATGTTTACGCACTCGAATAGAGACGATTCTACCGTACTCCACACAGTGACTATTGGAAAGCTTATCAATGAAAACAGGGTAAAGTGTGATTCCGTCTGGTCTTAGGAATGGGACTTATTCAATCAACTACCACTCAGATCCAGTAAAAAAATTCGCCCCCAGGAGTGGCTAACTGAAATAACTAAGATGTGAAACTTGAGAAACAGCTCACTTTGAAGTACATAGATCAAACAAATAAATCGGTTTACTTAAGGCAAAAGTGCGTCACATGACAAGCAAGGTGACTAAGTCAGTTACTTTCCGACAGCAGAGGAAACATGATTTGCGACAAAAGTATGCGTCACAGTTCGGTGATTCAAGGAATCTATAGCTGTACCACTTGCTTGCATTCAGCAAAAGGATGTGCGAAACCTACTCCTGCGAAGTTTACCGTTTGTGGGCGTCAGTAAGACTAGTCATAGATCGAGACGCCCTCAGAAGCTGTTCTGTCCGATAAGGCCTAGAAAAGCTGTACGTTTTAAAGTCGTTTTTAAGATGTTGATAGTCAATTTGTAGACATATACTAGTCAAATTACCTACATACGTCTTACATAGAGCGCGTTTAAGATGGGAGCGGATCTTACAACAGCCACTGAACTATCGGCCACAAAGCGATAGACAAACTGCCAGTTGAATAACCTCTTAATACCAGGTTATAACTTGAAATCAATGTACGGGGATCCCAAGATAAGCATACCTAATTAGGGAGACACAACGTAGACCAATATTGCACAGTAGTACCTACTCTTGCTCCGGGATATGGAGCTTTAAAGCGGAAAGTGAGAAGTGGTGACGAATCAAGGTGGCTAAGAATCGGGAATATGAGTGGACCCCGGTGTCAATCAGTTATCTTTACTGAGGCAGCATTCCCAGTAAGTGATCACATAAGCCAGACCAACTGCATGAAATCAAGAACACGGGAATAGTGAAACCACATAGGGAAGGAGTAAAAGTGCACAAACATTGCAGCCGGCCGTCCAATCCAGATAATATCTCGGGCCAGCAACAATCATCGGTTTTAAGGAGCAACATCTGGTCTTTTATGAGACAACAGCGGATAAACCCCACCTACTTTACAAGCAGACAGTCTCCCTAGAAATCACTAGGTCAATCGCATGCAACTCATCTAGTAACATCAAATACCTTGTGAGCAGCCGCTGCGGTAGATCATCATATGTATCAGGCTTGCAATTAATGAGGATGTTAGGACAGTGGGCAATCAGTGACTCTCGTTGCTTATGTACTCAAGACGCTCGAATAACGAGGCACCTATCACTTAACACGTACGGTTGGACCTTTGGCCACGTTGCCAGCACGATTCTCAGTCCCAATGCTGCCAGATTTTCACTATTGTTATGTAAACGGATAGTTGAAGGTTGTATTTGTCACAATTCCAAATAAGCTCCCTACACTGCAAAAGGGAGGTAACCACAAGTTTTCTGTTTTTGATAACGGAGTTCAGAGACGTGCCACAGCGACACGATGATAGAGTTCACAAAAACGGCGGCTGATTGCAGTCAAAATCCCAACGCGTACCGATTGGTGAGTGAATAACCCATGAAATTTACGGGATCAGAGTAACAAGAAGTTTGGATGAAATTTTGGTGGACAACTGTTAACGGGTTGTCGATTAGGCTTCGACAGGTTCACAGCATGAAGTGACAACCAATCATGACGTCACAATCAAATCTGACGGTAGATTAGTTAGGCAACCAATGACCAGACAGCTAAGTAAACCACAGACTAGTGGATATTGTCAACCTTATTGCCTGGTCACTTAACCGTTATTAAAAGTGTACGAAAGTCAAATAGGTGCGGCGACTTGTTTTGGAATGGCTCTGGACACGCTTGTCTTGTGAAATAGGTGATATTAATAATAACTGGACGACAAACTGGTTACACGAATAACACATGCACTGCTATCAATCTACAAGTGGATCAGAGGAAGAATAATTGCACAGGGTGAGTAAAACTTTCACCTGAGATGCCGTCATTCAAGGAGCCAGTCAGTACGTGACTAAGTGGCCTGGTCTCTGTGACTGGAGGACAAGTGGTGTTCTATGTTGTCTGAAAGGGGGCTAATCAGACCTCTGCTTAGCGGCTCGATATCGAACGGTTAAGTGGTCGGGCACTGGCCGGAAAGTGTCTGGGTTTCGTAAGATGGGCAATGCCAATGATTGCCGTTAAGTATGAAAAAGCTGTACAGTGCAT